TAAATGAATTTCTAAGGAACTAATTTTACAAACTAAATCCTAAGGCAAGCTAGAGGGAGAAGAGGATAATTTGATAGATGAACAGAAGCTGGAATAATTTGTGAGCTCGCAGAAATCCCACTTACAATTTGGTCTGTTTACAGAGTGATTAAAATAAATAGAAGTAAGAATTTACTCCTCTGCCTTCACGCTGTTGTATTTTGGGACAGATGCCACCACTGCACCACAGTGCAAACCTCTGTGTCCTTTTTTTTTAAAGTGAATAGTTTTGAATTGTCTGACATATTTGTGCTATTTTTTTATGTACTAGGGTTTTTTTTATTTTGCCTTTGGACAAAGTTTTATGAAATTGATTGATCTAAAATTAAATGTTAAGAGTCAGGCCTCAGCCATACTGTATATACACTTTATATCAAATCATTAAACTGCCTTGTTAGTGTTGATTGTTGACTCTGTCCTTAGATAATCCTGAACTCTGTTGACAAAATCCTGAGTGTGGCATAGCCCAAGAGGGAGAGCCAAGCTTCCCCCTTTCCTCAGTGATAAAAACTATATTTCTTCTGCTGTGGTTCTAGCATTCACCAAAATGGGAGTCCAGCCAGGCATTATCAGGCATCATATTATACATAATTGAGGTCAGGGTGTGGATTTGTTTGGGTTTGTTGTTTTGTTTTTTTTTTTAACAGGTCATCTGTTCCTCAAGGCTCCTATAGGCATCCTGCCAGTTCTTTAGTATCTAGGTAACGTTATTGAAGTAAATAAAGGAACTCAAAGTGAGCCACTGGGGAAGGAATCATATGGTTACCACTTTGAGTAACTGTGTTGGTTTGCAGCATGCAAGTGCTTAATCAGGTGGCTTATTCATCCTGCCTGTTGTTAAATCCTCTCTGTGCAATTTTTGCTTGCCAGTTAATGTCACTTTAATTTTCATACTTGCTACTGTCTAAGTTTAAATCTTACTTGCCGCCTTTCTCTACAAGGTATAGCTTTAAACTCTTCAGTTGGTAGCATGTTCAACCACTTTATTTTTTCTTCCCTTTTTTCCTCCTTATGTACTTCTCTTGTGGTTTAGAAATATCACCCATTTCATAGCTTCTGAAAGTGCACAAGTCTGGCCACATGCAAAGTAACTGGCAGAATGCTGTTGTCAAATCCACCTGCTGTGTCTTAGTCAGAAAAATAATCCTGCATTACTTTAGTCTGTGGCAGGAAGGGAAAAAGCAAGGGATAATGGAGTGAATTCCTGTGACTACCTAAAGAATGCAGAAGAAATAGCTACCCAAGGAATGTAGAAGAAATAATGATGTAGGAAATAAGTGATACAGGGAGAAAATGAAGTTTCTGATCTTGGTTTGAGGATTGGAAGTTAAGCTTTCCTGTGCTTGCTGTTGTAGAGTACAGCTGGATGAATGTCTCTCCAGTTTCTCCATTCCCTGGTGATAAAGGTACCCCATACCATGTGGCACAAAAAACCCCCCAAAAACAAACACCCAAAAAATCAAACAAAACCAAGCAAGAAACAAAACAAAAAAATGGGGATAAGCCTCAAAAAACCCTTTTAGAAAGGTTGGCGTGGAAATATCTAGTTTTTAATTTGCTTAACTAATGCTATTTTTCTGTGCAAAATTTGTATTTCAAAATACAGTTTTTGGAATCATAGTGCAAGAAAGTCATAGAATGGTTTGGAGCTGAAATGAAAAAGGGCATCTAATCCAACCCTTCCTGCAATAAGCAGGAACACTTGACTAGAGCAGGCTGCTCAGAGAGGTGAAGGAACAGTGAGGTAGTAACTGTTACTTTTGCTGACTCCTCAAGTTCAGCTTCAAATTGTCTTCAATTAAATAGTACCTCCTATGTGCACAGTGGCATGCACATAGTGTTTTCTGATAGCTATCAAATCTTTCTGAAGCAATTCTGAATCTGAAATCTGAAAAAGCTTACAAAAACTGCATTCTGGTTTTATGTTTTTTCCGACTCTATTATTCCTGTTTGCAGACTTTCAGGTCTGAAAACACCTAATTTTCTCAATGGATTTTGCTAAGGAATTTCTCTTCTAATCTGTATGAAATATGAGCTGCTTTTTTTTTTCTTTTCTAGTAGTAGGAAGAATAATTGGAGATGTTTTTCCAAATTCTGAGATTAGCCAAAGAGAAGCAAAGGGCAGGAAGGAATGCATGGGTAAACAAGGAAGAAGAGTTTGAGAAAAGCACAGAAGTTTATTTTATTTCTCTCATCTAGGAGCTGGATAATGCTTACTTTTGATCAGTAATGTTTTTTAACTCACCAGTATTTTTTATCTCCAGTGTACAGGTCTTCTTTTCATTGTCTTGATCACTTTGCTGGAAGTCCTGCATGGTCAGGCACATAAATGTCCATTTTACCACAGTCTAATCTTACTGAGCCATGTGAAAAATTAAGTACCATGAAATGTGTGTTCTGGGTAGACTGGATAGGTAACCCTTCCCAAACTCAAGACTTGCAAAGTATCTTAAGTGAAAACCTACATATAGAAGTGGTCACCTGATTTTGCAAATGAACATGCACTGTGTATTACAATGTTAATTATTAGTTACAAATTATAATATGCTAGGTTTATTCTTTGTGCCTTCTTGAGCAGAATGGTGTTGCTTTCTGGAACTGGCTTCATACAGAAGCAGAAATCTTACTTTTCTCTTACAACATGCTGGTCATGTTTGCCCTCTGACCTTGAAAATGCAGTGTGAAATACAAACAAGAGAAATAAAGGAGACACTTGCATCACCCCAGTTTGTTAAACTACCAAAGGCAATTGTGAGTCATGTTTTATTTGAGCTACACTGGCCTCTCCTTGCTATGTAGCCAGGTTCCAGCCTGGGGAAGCCTTCCAACCCAGAAGAAATGCATGTTCAAAACTCCTGAAGCAGTTTGACAATTTTAGTACTGTAACAGTCAGAGAAAATTAACATGCCAAGAACTTTTCAGAATATCCTGAGCCCTTAGAGCTTCACCTTCTCCTATCCCCTCACACTTAGGGTCTTGACTATTGTCTTAATTTTCTGAAAAGAGAAGGGATTATTAGGAGATAGAATTAATATTTCTACTCTGATAACTGCAGTGTGGTTTAGAGTCTGTCACATTCTATACATTTCCTTTTGTTCCCAGAGGGGCTGATATTTCTGCACAGCCTTCTGATGGCTGATGTAACTTCAAACTCTCCAAGGTTGTACCTGCTGCATCTTCACCAAAACAAAATGTTGCTTCAAGCTGCCTCTGGGGAGCTAATCCAGACATTCAGCTTTCAAAATCTCTCTTGTTCTTGGAATCTTCCTTTTTGCCTGGAGAACATACCAGAGGAATATTCTCATCATAGTATCATAGTCTAGCCAAGGGAGCTGGGACAGAATCCTGGCTATGCTGCTATGCTCTTCACTAGGTCTGAGCTGAATTGCTCTCTAAGCTTCATTGATGTAGCCTCAAAATATATTTAGTCCTCACCTTCTTGGTTTTAGGTGGGAATGTTGTCCAGAGTGAAGAGGTGAATGAATGTTCAGGGAATGCCAATTAAAAAAATCCACTTTTGACTGAATGTTGTTTCTCTAAGCACAGTATTTTTTAGATGTTTGTGAATTTAGGAACAGTAGAATTTTATGGGAATGCTGACGCTAATTTTTTCAGAGATGTGATGTGAGACTAGATGCATCTTTCTTCTGCAATAATATTTATGTGTTAGTTGTATGGTTTGGTTCTGCTAGATTTGGAAATAGTGTTATCTTCAGACAGGAAAACAAGAATAATTTAGGTAACTGAGGGATTTTAGTAGATATAACAATCAAGACTAACTATTATCTCTTTAACTGCACTAAGGCTTCTTTTTGCGTATCGACAGGTGAAACATTACTATTCCTACATATAATGGTATTTATCATGTTGCAGAATATTAGTAATTTATAATACAATGTGTAGTCATTGACTAGTGACAACAGATCTAGTAGATCAAAATGGAATAAACACACTTCTGTAGACTTTATGGTCTTGTCCGTTTGGAGGGTAGATTTCAAGATTTTGTGTGTTTGCTACAGTACTCTGCAGCTTTATAAAGTACACATAATTTATCTCTAATCTGTGCTTTTTCCTCAGTTGAAATACATGAGGGGCTTATGTTAGATCACATTGGAAAGAAAATACTGGTAAGACCTTCAACAGGAGGTAGATCTCCAAAGGAAATTTCTTGGTCTGGAGCTGAATTTTGTTCACTTTCAGAACATGCCACATGTTTAGCTCTGTAAGAGAAGTGTCCTGAAGAGGTATGAAACTTTTAGGGTTCTTGAGTCAGCAGTTGCCTGTTCTGCTGTTTGAAGGACAGCAGAGTTGACAGTGATATAGAGAACAGCAGTTAGAGTGATCAGGGGTGGAGCAACTACCTGAGGAGAGACTAAGGTTGAGACTCCTGAAAGAGTGGAGAAGGCTGGGGGCTTTGACCATGTGTAAAAGCATGAAGGTGATAGGTAAGTTGAATGCATTAGGTATTCACCAGAACTTCTAATACTTGAACTATCAGGCATTCACTGTAACTAGCAGATTGATTTAAAATAGAGCATGTATTTCTTTAAGTAGGAGGTAAACTGCTGCTGCAGGAATTCCAATAGCAGAGTATCAGCAGATTGAAAAGGCTTTAGACAAATTTGTGTGCAGTAAACCTATAAATAAATGGTGACAGGAACAGCAAAGGATGTGTCTCAAACACCCTTGCTGTGACTAGTGTGGATTCTGAACATGTGAAAGAGAAAGAGATTACATAAAAGAATCAGACTTGTGTGTTTTATTAAGTGGAGTCTTCAGTTGAAATTGTCAGAAACAAAATGTGGAACTGATGCAGAAATGACTTCTTATATTCACATGTTCTGTTAGATTTGATTTACTCTTTATTTGTAAAGAACTACTTTTCCCATACAAATGATACTGGTTTTTTTCATATGAGATATCCTAAATTGACCATAATTTATTTATTTCATGTTTTACAGTGAACAACCCTATACCTTCCAACCTGAAGTCAGAAGCTAAAAAGGCAGCTAAAATATTACGAGAATTTACAGAAATAACTTCCAGAAATGGACCAGATAAAATCATACCACGTGAGTAAAGAAAATGCTTTGTTTCAGCTAAAACCATCAGCACTCCTTGTGTTGCAGTCATGCTGTCTTTACCAATTCCCTCTGTTTCCAATGACCATGACTTAGAGATGAATGAAAATTTTGGGTGACATAACTTCTTTGAAAATATTTTGGAAGTGAAGGGTTTCAGTTTGCTATATTCTTGGCAGTGTTTACTTACTGGGAGAGATCTTTTGAATGCTTACTGCTACAAGGTACCAGCACTGGAAGGTTTCCCCCAGGATGGATGGACTGTGTCATGCTCAACCCTGTGTATGTTCTTAAGAACATGTGTATGATCTTAAGAGAGAACCTGGTCTAGGAGCTCTAGCTCTTGAATACCTGTTTTGATTGGAATTAGCTAGGTGAAAATAAGTTGAAGCAAAAAAATCAGGGTGATTTTCCTTTTGGTTCAGCACTCTTATTTGCTGCTGTCCTCCTTATTTTTGCAGTTGTTACTCTGTGTTTCTCCTAGTGTCTTCCTCCACCTGGTGCTGCTGGTTGTGGTTTTAAATCCTTAACTTTTATGTTCTGGAAGGTCTGCAATAAGATTTGCAGGATGATGACATATTGATATTTGCCACTAACACTGTCTAATGATACAAGCTTGTTAGGCTGCTCTGTGTTGCTGTGATTTAAATTTGGACTCCTCCAAAAATTTGTGGAGACATGGTTGTTAGCTATTCACTGCCTGTTTTCTGTTCATCTTGCCAAGGGTACTCACACACAAAGTGTGTGGCACTAAACAAACTAATTCTGTGCAAGCTAATCAGGACAGGCGGAGCAGTTGTGGCAGTGTAGAGATTGTCACAGGCTATGTGACCTGCAGCTGGGTTTGCAGTTCACTGTGGTGGTGGTGTCATTATTAGTTCAACTTTTTTTGCAGTTTTCTTTCAGCTTTTGCTTTGATTATTTGACTTTTGTGTTCATATTTGTTAAATATTGAGTTTTGTTTTACCCTTCTCTTAGAACTTCTCTCTATCTTGAATAAATGATTTTGCTGTTTCAGCTCATGTAATAGCTAAAGCCAAAGGCCTTGCAGTTTTGTCTGTTATCAAAGCTGGATTTTTGGTGACCGCTCGAGGTGGAAGTGGAATTGTATTAGCTCGTCTTCCTAATGGAAGTAAGTGGGTATTTTCCTTTTGTACTTCATGAAAAGTTAATTTAAAAAGATAAAAATACATTTTTTCATTATTCTTTTCACAGCATAAAGCAGGAGATATGTGATGAGTCAGGCAAGTAGGTGACAGGTGACAGTGTTTGGTGTGAAAGCTGTTTTCAAATCTTTGTACTTTTGTTTGACCGAGTGTAAATCTTTCAGTATCTTTGTGGAAAATAATGAAATATAAAAGTACATAGTATAAAATTAATTAGAAAAATTTATTATATCTGATTATGAAGAAGTATATGATAAATAATTTTTAACAAGGGATTGTTTAGATTGTAAGGGTTTGTATTTCTCAAATCCTTTCCTGTAGGATAAAGCATTATGAGTCTATTGTAGTGGTTTTTAACGTAGTTTTAAACAGAGAATTTGCTAGCATTTTTAACTGTAATAATGAAGTGAGTACTTGTAATATATGGTTAAAATTCCGTAAATTTATCTTGTTTTGCACAACAGCCTGGTCTGCTCCCTCTGCAATAGGAATTGCTGGTCTTGGTGGTGGATTTGAAATTGGAATTGAGGTATGGTTTTGTATTTGAAATACTTGTTGGTAACTTTTTTTGCAAGAAATTAAAATACATTCGCAAAGATCTAAATGTTAGTGAGATAGTAGAATCTATTTCTATGTACAAAAATATTATTATGAAATCCATTTATGCAAGACAAACAAAAGAGGGGTTTTGATCCCATCAGTCAAATTGTTAGAAGACATTTAGATGAAAAAAATTGACATGACACTAATTTCCATGATTTCCCACTTCTAGCAGACTGAATTTTTCACTTACGGAGAGCTTCCTGTCAGTGTCCCCATATAAGACAATTGAAGTTAATTAAAAAAGCATCCTATACTTAATAGTGTGTCAAATGCTTTGCTAAAGGGCACAGGGACTCCATCTGGCAAAAAACAGTGTAAAGAACTGAAGTAAAGTGGAGTCTGCTTAATGTTACTGTATTTCACACATTTCCCACTCACACTTGTGGTTACTGACATGACCCTTCAGTCTGAAAGAACCAGTGATACCTCTCCTGAAGGAATACTACAGAAAAGGAGTCAGTTCTATCCAGCAGAAATGCTTAAGTAAAGGACTCCCCTCATATTCAGAGAAACCCTGGTGAGCTGAGCCCTAACGGCGCTCTGCCTCTGCTTCCCATTTCTTCTTCCTCACAGCTCCTTCACACTTGTATGTTTTCATCTTTTCTCTGCTTCCCCATACTACCCTGCAGACTCATCCTTCTCTTTGCTTAGCTTTTGTTCTGCTGATTCCCAAAGAAAATCAGAGTAACAGTACACTGCCAACAAGATCTCTTGCAATGGCCATTTGCTCTTCAGGAGAATCCATGTGTGGATGACCTGAGTGATCACACACTGCCAAAAAGATCTCTTGCAGTGGGCATTCTGCTCTTCAGGAGAATCCATGTGTGGATGACCTGAGTGATCCATGCCAGCCCCCAGTACATCTACAGCTTGCCAGCCACCCTGTCCTGGCAGCCAGTCAGCCAGCACTCACATACAGAGCAATAGATCAATATTTCATTCTCTCCTCATTGTTCACTGTGTGATCTCAGGCATTATTGCATGCACTTTTTAAATGATGATGTGAATACAAAATCATTAATTTTTGTAAGGGATTTTCATTGGTTTTCATGACTACAGGATCTGAATGCATTACAAAGTGTTCACTGAGCCCCAGAGTTTGTTTTGTTGTGGGGTTTGTTTGTTTTTTTCTTTCTTTTTAAGCCTCTTCATGTGTTTTAATTGATCTATGAAAAATTTTCTTTTAATATCCCCACCTGATATTTTAGATAATGTAGACATTTCCTATTGATACTGAATCAAATAATTGCAATACAGAAGCTACTTATGAGAGGAGTTTTTCTCTGAGTAATACTGTGCCATTCATTTGAAATTTTAGTCAGCTTACAAAATGCTGTTTCCTTGCTGACGTTATTATAACACAATCTTTTTTATTTCTTCTAGAAAATACATGTTACTCAGAAGTACCTGAATGACTTAGGAGCCTAGAGTCCCATTTCAGCATTCTTCTAGTCCTATATACACTTCAATGTTTTAGAAACTGGGTGAAATTTATTCCTGTAGGAGAGATTATAGTTGACATAGTTGTGGTGATACTTATGGATGTTTTTTGAAAAAAAGGAGATCACACTTCAGAAGTCACAGTGACTTGGTACTTCAAATTAAGGACCAGTTTTAAAATTTATATAAATGCTTTCCTTGAAGGCTTTCTCAGGATTTGCTTTTCTTTAACAATGGATTCATCCTCTTAATGGGTAAGAGGAGGAAGCAGTATCCTAACAGATGTTCTCCCTCCATCCCTGGATGATTCACAGACTGCTCCTGTAGCCATCTTTTGTTTGGGATGGGGTGGAGGTTACCAGGGGGCTAATAACAAAGACCTCTCTTATGCTGTGTGTGATACTTCTAGGCCAGCCTTGTTTTGCAAATAATCTGGTATTTCCTCTTGTATTCCCTGCTGTCACTGTTTGGAATTTGGGGTAAGTCAAAAGTTTTTTTCTGAACCTGGCTTTCAGTCAAGTCCTTCAGATGAAAGATCAGGTGCAGTAGTCCTTGGGTATATTGCTACCTCTTCAATTATTAGGTTTAATAGGTTCTTGAAGCAACTGACTACATCTCATATTCAAGTCTTAAAAAGTTAATTAATAATTCATATACATGCACAGAGATATATAAAACTGCTGTCATGAAAATAAAGTTTTATCAATAGCACCTGTATCCTTTTTGCTTTTTATTCTTTGGACAGGAATTTTTGTTTAGTAAGTTCTGTCTTGCCTTCATTAGTTTAGTTATTGAATGATCAAATGAATTCACATCTGAAAATGTGCCTTCATAATTGTGTAAGACATGGAAAATAAGAAAATGTCAATTAGGAATTTTGACTCAACATAGAGTTTCTCTTATAGCTTTTGTTTATCACACACTGACCATATCAGCACTTTGAAAAAAATCAATCAAATTTGATTAAAAAAGTAGTTGAAAGGATTTTTCATTCAAAATACCTTGCAGAAAAAGAATCAACTTTGTCATGAAAGCTGTTTCAAAATAATCCTGTACAAGAAAGGAAGATCATCTCCTGTTCTTTCTTCTTAAAAAAGTGTAGTACTTTTATTTGATATTTTTTAGGTCTCAGACTTAGTGATAATACTGAATCATGAAAGAGCAGTAGAAGCTTTTGCCAAAGGAGGAAATCTTACACTTGGAGGAAATCTTACTGTGGCAATTGGACCTCTGGGGAGGTGGGTAATATATTTTCCTAATAAGGCATATATGGAAGTTAATTTTTAAAAGCCACATTCATGTGGCATTTTTTTTATATGTTACAGAACAGCCTAGGCAACCTGTGTGCTGACTGGGCCATATTGTTCTTGCCAATCACTTTTTTTTTCTTTTTATCTTCTTTTCTGATTAAGTAATTTACTGGTAGAAGGAAAGTGTTCTGAGATTTGTTTTCCTTTTGAGACTGTTTGGCTAGGCTCAATGAAGAGCACAGGTGCTTCTGTGCATGATAGAACTATGATTTTTAGTAACATATGGGTCTGTGCTTTCTTTCACCACAGATCTGCCTAACAGTAAATGAAAACTTTACCAAATAGTTGCTTTTAAACCTTTAAGTGGTTAAGCTTGTTTACTTTAAAGGATGAGGTGAAATAATCACTGAATAATTTTACTCGGAAATGTTCCTTACAAGACTGCCACTCCAACCTCCTGCTCAAACCAAGGTCTGTTATGACTTCAGATCAGGTTGCTCAATTTTTATTTTTTTTTTCCCAACATTTTTCCAGTTGAAAATCCCCCATGAGGGAGACTGCTTGGTTCTCTGAGCAACCTGCTCTGCTGTTCATGATTCCTGCCTTACATCTAGTCAAAGTATTTCTTCTTTCTATTTATGTCAATAGTATTTTATTCTTCCTCCACATGCTGCTATAAAGAGCCTGGCTTCATACTCTTGATTACCTCTCCCTAGATATTTGAAGCCTGCTGTTAGGTTTGCCCCAAGTCTTCTCCAGGATAACCAAGCCCAGCTACCTCAGACACTGCTTATGGAATATATGCCTCCTTATGGCTACTCTTTTTTTGATGATGACGTTTTTACTGCTGTTTTTTAATCTTTTCTAACAAAATAAAAGGATGATACTTATTGCACAGAAGAGAGAGAGAGATCTGTGGATCAGGGAAGGGCAGTGACTATAAGCTACCCTACACAGCCATTCAGTACACTGTCCTGCAACATCTCTGTGTCCAAGCTAGGACATAGGTGTCAGGGTGGGAAGACAAGCAAACAGGTGAAGATCATCACATTAGAAGAGCAGTGGTAAATGGTTTATGTTGAAGTCTGAAGCCAGATTTCTTCAGAACTCCTCAGGAGACTCTTCTAGGACTTCTCCTGCTTGGTATTTTTATCAGTAACCTAGAGGAGCAGTTGCAAAATATACTCTTTTAGTTTGTGGATGACTCCAAACCAGGGTTTGCAGCCAGTGCATTTCAGGGTAGAGCCACCATTCAGAGCAATGAACCTAGAGAGTGTAAAGATCCAGCATGAAACCCCATGAAATCAAACAAGAACAAGTGCAAAGTTCTGCACTCTTAGTTGGATGAACCCCCTATCAGGCTGAGCAGCTTCCCTACAGAGAAGGTGCTGGGATCCTGGTGGGCAGTGAGGCTAAGCCAGCAGTTGATTCCTGACAGAAAAGGCAGTGAACAGTGTAGGGGGTTGCATCAACAGGACTGTAACCAGTAGATATGGGAAGTGATTGTTCCCCTTTACCTGACATTTTGTAGACTGTGCCTAAAATATTGCATTGAGTTTTAGCCCTGCAGATAGTTGTTTGTAAACCTGAGTGTGTGCAGTGAGCCGCTACCTAAATGGCCAGAAAAATGCAGCATGTGAATGATGAGGCTGGGGGAGCTCAGCTTATTGAACCTGGATGAGAGAACACCTTCTGAGGCTGAATTCCTAACAGGGCATCACCAAGAAGACAGACACCAGTTCTTTACAGGGGTGCATGGCAAGAGAATGAGAGGTAGTAGTCATATATTGAAACAAAGAAGATTCTGAGTGGATATGAGAAAAAAATATTTGACATTAGTAAAATTGTGTTGCTCAGAGTGTCTGTCGAATTCTGTCCTTAGAATTCTTCAAAAACTGGCTGTTCAAAGTCCAGAGCAACCTTCTTTCAATTCGATGATGTTGATCCATTTTGAGATGACTGTCGTTAAACCTAAAATATTTAGGTGATCCTGTGAAGGACAAATACTGTAATCTTCCAAATCTGTTGAGGTTCAGTAAGGCCTTACTTGAAGTGTTTGTGTTGACCATAAAGTCTAGGAGGATTTGGAAATATTGAATAGAGTTTCAGTCACGAGTCCAAACATAATCAGATAATTTTAAAATGTGATTAAAGTGTGGCTTAATAGTTTTTAGAGGAGGCTGTTAAGATCCAGTTATTATAATTATTACGGAGATGCCTTTGCCCAAATAAGATGCAAGTGAGACCATATGCTGAAGTCAATAGTATGGATTTTATTTAACAGTAAATGTGAGTGGGGGAGAGAGAGGAAAAAAAAACAGAAAAAGAGGAAGAGAAGAGAGAAAAAGTGGCAGAAAGATTGAGTGGAAAATATCACCTCTCTGTGGATCCCAACAGTGTCCTGTTGATCTCTTCTTCTGGTCTTCTCAGTGGTGGGGGTTCCATAAAGCTTAGAGTTCAGTGGATGCCTGTTCAATGGATGTGTTCAGGCTGGTTGGGAACACCCAGGTACCTCCCCTGGTTGGGAAGTTTGACAATGTCTCTTGCCACAGGCTCTGATATATTGCATCCCTTTGCATCACATTCAGTTCTTTGGTGCAAGGCCTCAGGACAGAAAAAGAGTAAGAGAGGAGAGAAAAAGTGGCAGAAAGACAGATTGAGTGAAAAATATCACCTCTCTGTGGATCCCAACAGTGTTCTGTTGATCTCTTCTTCTGGTCTTCTCAGTGGGGGGGGTTCCATAAAGCTTAGAGTTCAGTGGATGCCTGTTCAATGGATGTGTTCAGGCTGGTTGGGAACACCCAGGTACCTCCCCTGGTTGGGAAGTTTGACAATGTCTCTTGCCACAGGCTCTGATATATTGCATCCCTTTGCATCACATTCAGTTCTTTGGTGCAAGGCCTCAGGAATCAGTCTGAGGGTGCTTTGGGGGTCTTTGATGGTTTATGATCCCTTCTCAGACATGACAGCTGCCTCTCTGGTCAGTGCATTGAGTCAGTTGTGACCTATCAGGCCTTCCCCAGCGAGGGGTTGGGAGTTGTGTAAGGGAGAACAATTTCCATGATAAATGGTGCCATCCCACCTTGCAGGATTTGCCTCATCAGCCTGAAAGCCTGGCTTGCAGCCTCCCCCTCTGTCTTGTGTGAATCTTACTGTACACCCAAACTCACCTCCTCAAAGGATGTAAACCTGGCCTCAGCAAATCACCCTGGAGCCTCCCTGATTGTTTTGAGTCATAAACCATGAACAGTCTCTCAGAGACCTAATGGGGAGCATTCATATGAGGGAATGTTTTTCTGTGCTTCTGTCTGAAAAAAGGGTAAAAATAAAATGAAGGATTGAAAGAAAAAGACAATTACTGTTCATGCTAGAAAACTGTATTGAAGAATATCAACCAAAACCTTTTCCTTCTAGAAACTTAGAAGGGGATGTTGCCCTGAGAAGCTCTGCTGCTGTCTATACATACTGCAAATCTCGAGGGCTGTTCGCAGGCGTTTCTCTGGAAGGAACCTGTTTAATTGAAAGGAAAGAAACAAATCGCAAGTAAGCTCTCTTAATATCTAAAAGGTTCAGTGGAAGTAGAGTGACAAAATTAACTAGGACACATTCACTTGGGGAAAAGTGGTTTTTGTGAAAACATACTATGTTAGTTTAGGATTTCTTGAGGGAGAAGGGTTTCTTCATTTTAGACATCTTGCAATGGGTATTGAGATGATGCTAAATGTTTAGGGATTTTTTTATCTGTGGCAGGTTGACCTTAGCTAGCTACAATTTCTTGAGGGACAAGGGTTTCTTCAATGTAGACATCTTGCAATAGGTATTGAGATGATACTAAATGTTTAGGGATTTTTTATCTGTGGCAGGTTGACCTTAGCTAGCTACTACATGCCAACCCAGTTGCTTTTGCTCCCCCTCCTCAACAGAATGAGAGGAGAAAAAGTATGATGATAAACTCATAAGTTGAGATAAAGCCAGTGAGATCACTTACCAATTGGTATTTCAGTCAAAAAAAAACTCCAACCTCATCAAGGGGAAATTAGTTTATTTTCTGTAAATAAGAGAATAGGATAATGAGAAATAAGAACAAATCTAGAAAGCAACACCCTTCCACCACACACCTCCCATCTTACTGGGCTCCACTTCAATCACAGCTTCCCCACCTCCTCCTCCCAAGTGGTGCAGAAAAATGGGGGCTGTGGTCAGTTTTTCAAATTTACAGTTTTGAAATAGTTCTGTCATTTCTCAGTATATGAGGAAAAACGTAGGAAAAATGCAGGCTAGGGATGGAAATAGGGAGCATTTGCACAAAGTGAATTTATCTAGAAGTTGAAATATAATAATAATAATAATCAAATACGTGCAATCTTTATTTTTTTGGTAACAGGTTTTATGGGCAGGACATTCGTGCTAGTGCCATCCTGCTTGGTGACGTGCCTTTCCCTGCTCAAGCAGATGATCTTTATGAAACTCTAGCATCCTTCACTGAAGTGTATGAAAATGAAGAGCAAAAAAATAATCCAGGAAAATCTGTAAGGGAACAAAGAAGGGTTTGTTTGTGTGCTTCTTCTTCACATAGGCTTTCCCTCTTCCTAAGATGTTCTTAGTTAGTGCCAGTGCTGGTGTTCATGTGTCATTTTTAACTTCTCTGTTGGATGACTGAAGGCATAGCACATGTCAGTTACTGCATGTGGAACATTTGTTCAAGTATTTCCCTGCTAGGCTCTTGGGGGCAAGAATGTTGCTGGATTTGCTTTGCATCTTCCAGAATAACAAAGTGTATTCTTGTTTTGTAATGGCGCATTATCAAATCTGAGTTGATGATTAGGAATGTTTGATCAAGTATTTTTAAGTTGATTGCAAATTGGATACTCTTAGTTTTCCTACTTTTTGTGTCTTCTATTCAAACAATCACAATTATAATGTAATACTGGGACTGTAGAAGATATTTTCTTACAGATGTTGATGTTACTGATAGACAAGGATTTACTTTCAGCTTTGTTAAACCCATGGTGATTTACTTCAGTGTCATGTATGTCACTTGTGTTTAGTGTGCTTTTTGAGTTCTTACAAGTTCAGTGGAGAAAGAGTAATTTTATTTTTTTTCAGTGTAACTTGACATACTTCTAGGCTCAGAAGTAACAATCTATGTCCAGATATGATGCTATGTTTTTAAAAAATTTGTGTACTTTAGGTAAATGACCGACCTGCTAGACCATCAACCAGACCAGAGCCACCTAAACCCACTGTTAGACCTACACCACCAGGTGAAAAATTTTGATAATGGCTGATTAATTCTCTTCATAAAATTAGAGCATTAAAGCTAATTAATACTATGCATTTACTATAGCAGCTGCCTCTATAAACACTTATTTTAAATACTCTTCCTTGGACAAACACTGAAAGCATGTTGATGTAGTGCCATGACTGATAAAGACTAAAGGATTTGGTTTTTTGTTTTATATTAACAAACCTTTTCTCTCTGACAGATTTGCTATAGAAATAGTGTTTTTAGAGTTACAGAATCATGTAATAATTCAAAGAAAATATTCATAGATACTGGATATATAGGAGCCTCACAGTACAATGAAACTTCTTTAGTAAAAATAACAGTCCTAGAAACTGCTGGTTAAAGTTCTAAAAACTTCTGGTTTCTAGAAATCATAGTTTCTCTTTAGGTTGTCATTATCTTTTAATTATTAGAGGTTTTACAGTAGAGCAGAAGAGGCAGAATTTTGTCTCTTTAACAATTTGTCTTAACAAAGTGCTTTCATTCAAAGAGGGACTACTGTGCAGCTCCTCTTGTTAACTTAATTCTTTGGTTAAGGATGTCAGGTAAAGTCTGTATTTCTTTCTTCTGCACTGGTTCTTAGTTAACTGCAATAATTTAATAACTATTGAACTTGTATCAGAGGATCAGTATATAACAATATATGTTAGTATGTCATATAAGTAGCTACTTTATTTTTACTCTTTCAGTTAAAAAGAATACCAACAAACTTTATCCTGAACTTCCCAGTGATTATGCATCTGGGGGTAAGTACTAAGCTTACACTTATTTCATAAATACAGTGCAGAATCTGAGAAGTCCTAAAAGTACTTTGAAAGATATGCAAAAATATCAGCCATTGATATTTTTCTTTATCTTCCATATGTTAAAAAGAGATTCAGGTCTTGTATGATCTCCTGAAAATATTTCATAAACATTAATCTTATTTCCTGGCTTTACATTGTAACAATGATGTTCTTTTTCTGAGCAGCACAAGAGAGCTGTGAGCTTGAGAAATGCACATGAAGTAGTAAAATTGTTTTATGTTACCACCTAATTGAAATGAAAAAGGAAGCTGATATAACAAGCTTCTGTCCAAGTCTTTATGCAATGTACTATAATTCCTGTTTTAATTTTAAAAGTGCTTCCACAGATGATATCTGATTATGCTGGCATAAACACCAATTTACATGGCTTCTTTAGGTTTTTGTACTGAAATAACTCTGTGTTACCCTAAAGATATTACTATTGATTCTCTTATGTTTAAAGCACTTTCAGCTCTTAAGAGGAGAATCTTACTGTGCAGTATTTGCATTCCATATTACATATAAATAGATCCCAATGAAAAGTCTATTTCAGGCAAAGTGTAATTAGAGCTTTTCACTAAAAATTAAGATAAAATATGTGGTTTTGTCTTTACATTCTTTTTCATATCTTCTCTTCATACATGTTCTTTATATGTGTGTCTGTTGAAGGGGCCAACATAGGAATATCTTAAGCTGAGCTGTCAATGTCATTTCTGCAGATCAGAGACTTCCTAAGAATCAAGATTTATTATTGTGTTGTAGGACTTGTACAAGGAAAACAAGGATGGCTCTAGTGGTCTGTACTCAATAGCTGTCATCCAAGAGAGAAGAACTGGTCTTCTGGCCATTAAAACTAAACTTTCCCAGTCTTACCAAAGCCCTGACCAACTGAGAACAGGTTTCTAAAGCTTGCACCCATTTGCTATATTGAAGGGACTGTTCTTCTATTCGGGTGCAAGTGACAAGGTAAAAATATTCCAGAGCCATCTGTTGAATGGCTTTCAAGATTCTTTGAAATCAAGATACAGTCTCAGTCTGCTACTGGGGATTTCTAGCAGTTTCTCAAAATATACAAGTTGTTCTTTAGAAATGCAGGGGCTGGGGGCAGTAGGATCTTGTTTTAATGATGGCATGGTATATTTGGCTTTCTGATGCAGATTACATTCCCATAGCTAACAGTTCAAATGCTTTCTGAATCCATACAAATACTGTGTTTCTAAAGGCTAAAGCTTTTTTCCTTCTCACAGGGGGCAATTAAGGTTGAAGTCAAGAGTCACAGCTCCCTTTCACAAAGTGTGTATTAATGCTGGGGGATGAAACAGAAAGAGCAATAAGGCCACATCTCCTGTCAGTGATCTGTTTCTGCCTATTTATAGTCCAAATTTTTTCAACAGAGCTGCCTAGCAGCTATAGCACATACATGTCAATCTTTATTGCAGGAGTAGTTGCTGCAGCAGATGTTCTTCTACAGTGATCTGTAAAAGACATATTCAAAAATTTTTGTATCATTCTAGTTTAAAAAATACATATAGATAAGCAATAGAAGAGTGAATGAATCTTATCATTCTATGTGTTATGTATAATGGCTGGGGTGGAGGTAGGTTTTGATGTTGAGCAACAAGCTTAACTGGGTTGCAAGTAATAAGGACTTGCCTTTGGTTGGGGAAGGGACAACTTGGCATTGTGTTACCAGCATTTGGTTTTGCAGCAGTTATACAAGTAGTAGAAAGGTTGAAATATTAACTCTTCTCATTAGATGAAAGAGTTAGACTTGGATGAAACATTTTTAATTATTTGCTGTGTACTTGAATTATATAGATAAGTAATGTAATATAACCTTTTTCAAATGCAAGAAGAACGATAAATGAAAAACATTATTTTCTAAACTGATAACATGATACTTGAACTAAGATGCAAGGAGCTTGTTTTCATGTAACTGAATAATGCTTAAGGTAATGCATTTAGTTGTAAAATGAGCTTCAGTAGTGTTTTAAATGTTTCCAGAAACTTAGGAATACCACACATTTTATATAGATGCAGTTAAAAATTGCACAGACCTTTTACAATTCTGGGAAATAAAACCCCAAAACAAACCACAACCAAAAACCACAACAAACTAGCAGCTGCTACAGTAATTGTGATTCAGTGAAGTATGAATTTTCTACACTGGTAGACATTTTTCTGAAGACTCACAAAACAAAGAAATTTGATATGCTTATGAGCATGAAAGTTCGTGCCTTCTCCTTTACTAGAATTAGGGATTTGCATTTCATTTTTCTACTTGTCCCGTCTTTGTTGTAAAATCTACTAAAAGGACTTACTGGCCCTTCCAAGATTTATTACCACAACTTAGCTTTTCTTTTTCTGGATGGGTGATTCTTTGGACTTCTTTACCACATCTGTAATACAAACAACCCATGATTCTTTAGTGACTACTTGGACATTGTAGACTCAGGAGTTTATTTCATTAGGACCATTTGTTTTAGATACATTAGGTTCATAGTTTGTCACACTGGAATATCTAATCCTAGACATTAAATTTTCCTTAGTGTTATGATTTGTAGGGTTTTTTTGCTCGGGGTTTTGCCATCCAGTAACCAAAAATGTGGCTAAATGATTACTTCCTACCTGCCCTCCTAACAGTGCTGAATGGTATACAATTCTGAAAATTGTATGTGGTTTCCCAGCTGAACTAGTAGCAGCAGGAGTAGTGATCTGCTAGTAAAAGCTGGTGAGAACTGAATCAATAACAAGCAGTTTGTTCAAATCAGAAGTTAGCTATTCACTTTTTCTTCAGCTCAGCTTATCAGAAAAGGACTGTTTCACATGTTTGGAAAAGAATCACTTGGAATTGCCAAGGTGCTGAAACAATCAGGAAACAGACTTAAGACAGGAGTGGGGATGAAAATGGAAGAAATTTCTCCCTTCCGAGCAGTGTGCTTTCACTGTTATCAAATCTCACCACGAGCTTAAATTCTTACAATACTGTAAGACAAAAAACTCATACTGAACACAAAAGCAGTTCTTTTGATAAAAATGTAAGTATTTTATGATAATAAAATTTGGACAAAGTAATGATGCTGTCTGCATTTTTTAAGGGGTCATGTGAGTTGCTTAAGAAACCCATAGGATTTGTGGCTGTAAAGCCTGAATATTTAAGCATTCTTTTTTTAGTTTGCTTTCAGAAGTACTGTCTTTCTTACCTTCCAGAATTACTAAACAAAATATTTTAGAATTTTATCTTGAGGAAAATATTTGCCCTCTTCTTTGGATTTTTGAATGCAGTGAATTATCTGCAGCCATTGAACTTTTTAACTATTGTGCGTAAAATCAACACACCCCAACGTGATTACATTAAATCTAAAAAAAACCCAAAATATGAATTTTGACTAGGTTTTTCTCAGCAGAAACCTTTCACTTTGAAAATAAAGAAAAATATTAACAGATTGTTATTGTCCCAATAGACATATATTTATATTCTTGCATACTGAAAGAAGTGCTATATCAAACTAACTGATGAGAATATGGAGGCAGATGAGAAAATTGTCACTGTTTTTAAGAAGCTAAAAAAACCCCTTCTTCCTTCAATGATGATTTGAGTGATTTGTCAACTTCATTATTAAAAATTCATGCCTTCCTACATGAATTTGTCTGCAGCTTTTAGACAGTATTTGTTGTGGCTTTCTTCACTATATTAAAGAGCTCTTTGGTACGCAGAGGAGCTTTTTTGTGTTCCCCTCTTGTTCCAATTATTTGACTTGTGCTGTAGTCAAATAATTTTTGGTCTTCTTTCATCTTTCTTTTGATTGCCAAACAGATTGATAAGCTCTTTGTCAAAAGTAATTTTCTCTTTCCTCTCAAATTTTAAGTAATAGTACAAATACCAAATTCTAAGCTGTGAGCTCACTGAGATCAGTAAGATTTGGGCTCTTAAAAGCTCTAATGAATTTGCACTAATTTCCATTCTTTACATTTTCTATTATTTAATTATTTATTTAAACCTTATTGAGTGTTCCTTATCTATGCTTAAAACAACTGAGGCAATATCAACCCTTTTTGATTAGGTGGTACCATGAGGTGGTAAGTTCGGTTTGTGTTAACTAAAGGCAGCAGAGCTGTTGCTTTTCATGGTTACAGTTCTCCAGGAATCAGGCCTGGCCCACTTCTGTGTAATTTAGAGATGATCTCAGTGTTTCTTTAGGTAATCTATGAATGCCAGATGGTTCAGTAGATCTGTGAAAATCTGCTTCCCAAGAGAATTCCAAGACAGATTTTCATGCCTCCTGAAGTGTATTTCGTCAAGAAAAATGGAGGGTCTGTATGTGAATTTGCCTTTGTTAGTACAGTATGGATTTCTTTGTGGCCAGTTGCAAATGCTTTAACTAAGCCAACATAATTATATGGACTAAGAATTCATAGACCTCTTCTGAGGAAAAAAACTTTTTTTTTTTTTTTGCATGTGATTTCACCTCCTGTCCTCCTGTTTCACTTATTTTACTTGCATACCTGCTCTGCAGTTCAGTTTACATCTGACTTGTTATGTTGTTATATTGAAAGCTACTGCTTTCTAGGATAATATTGATCAAACTTAGAAAAGAAAATAAAAGCTGGAGCATGGATGCCATTCTAGCAGTCTCTGCATTAATTAGTACCTCTACTTATGTGTGGTGCTGAGCTTTCTTAACACAGTATAATGAAAAAATGGAATTTTTAGTTCGAACTGCTGAAAGAGACCATCACTCTATGTTCTTGCAACTTTAAAATAGGCTTGCTTTGGTAAATATGTATTGAAGCAATCACTTTATTTTTTTATATATATATATTTCCTAACCTAGGTTTAACAAAACCAGTACTATTTTGGAACTCAGATTTAACTGGAAATCTAACATGCAACTATTTATATTCACTGTGCAATTCCATGTTTGGATATGCCCACTGACAAAAAAATCTGACAGCTGTGC